TGTGTCGTAAACTTTCACCCCGTTGTCAGGGCCAGGAGAGCGTGAGCCCTCTGTGCAGTGTTATTTTTTTCAAGTCTCCTTCCTTTTTACAAGAAGAATTTCATAAAGGAGGGAGCATGGGAATGGGCTCCTCTCTTGCTGAGCCTTAAAGACATTTGATTGGCTGTTAGCTTACCATAGTTGTAGCAGAGAGTTTACTGGTTGTAGGCGGCAGGGGCGAAGGCTGACTTGTTTGTTAGGGTTATCAAAGTGAGATGGGACCAGATAGGGCGTGGAGATATCACACAAGAATCTTACTCGAGGCAGCAACACTGAATTATGAATGAAAACAAATCCGGAATTCATACTGTATGTATAGTTCAACCGCTAAAATAATCGGGAAAGTATCTCATTAAATATTTATTCCAACAAACTTTAAATCTATATTTAGATGTGAATACACAAACACAAAGCAAAGAAGCAGAGATGTCAGTACTACACGTCATTTTTTTTTCAACTCCAAAAGTCTAAATTCTAGAACATGACAATTATTAATTGTTTATTTCACATTTGGCTGTTTTTGTCTAGCGTTTCGCAGCCAGGAGCCGGTGTCACAATCGAGGTCACGATCTGATTATAGGATGGTAAAAATCGAGGGAAAAAAAACAAGAACTCGCAGCAGTCAAGATATTATTAGGAGTTAGTTCCATTCGCATCTGTGAGGTAGACTCGACCACAGTAATAATTAGCTTATTTAATCAGCGCTTGTGACTGCTTATAACTGTGGCCCGAAAGGGGTGAACAGGGTATATAATATTATTATGTGGCAATGAAACAGCTTTGAGTGCTGTATACTTGTTCCCTTTAACTCTTTTGGTAGACTCTTCCAGCCTCACTTTACCGCTTGCGACTGCTTACGGAGTGGCCCGATAGGGGTGAACAGGCTATTTCTGTGGCAATGAAACAGTTTTGAATGTTTGGCACACTGTTCATTGGTGATTATGAACGCCTTTTTACATTTGATTTATGAGGTTTACGTCTGTGGGTGAATTTGACTTTCGACAATGTTTCAAAATTAGGAAGGGAAGCAGTGATTATTTGATTATATAGACGCTTCTCCACTGGTAGACGGTGACAACAATGATTGGATAAACGAGCAAGCTACCAAGTTGATTATTCTGTGTTCATTGTGTGCGATTACAACGGTTTCAACTGCTTATTTCGTTAATATCATATGCTTTGGGATAGAGTTGGGAAAGGGGGGGGGGGGGGGGGGGTCAAGCCCCTGAGCCCTTCACTACCCACCGCTACCGTTTAGATTTCAAGATTTCAAATACACTTCAGTGATTATTAATTAATTAATATTTATTTGGAGACCACGTCTTCTGCGAGGGTGTTTGTCCGTCAGGGCGTGTGATTGAATAAATATTGATTTAATTCCTGACCTGATTAAATGTAAACAAATCTTCCTGTGATGCGTAAACATACTGCGTAGTTTGAAACTGTTCCTCTGTGAAGTGTAGAGTGCCTTCTCCTTGAACACAACGTCGGGCCCCTGATGGCTGATGGGGTTTGAACCCACGACCTTTCGGTTGCTAGCTCGGGAAACTATCAGAGCTGCACACTTTCTAGAAAAAAACAACTGTCAAAGCCGCGCACTATGAGAGCCGTGCACTCTTTCACGATAATTATCGATACAATTAGATTGCCGATTCCGCCCAACCTTTACAGTCCCCTTGACGAAATTACTCTGTACAGCCCCAATCCAAATATAGTCGTCTTTCTGCAGACGTTAAGCGATTTCCAAACCATATCTCTGCTGAAACTAAAAACACAGACCCAATAGAAAGGCACTACCAAGAAAGAAGGGAGAATGTGTAACAAGCAAATTTTAATGTTTTTTAGTTTTAGTAGAGGGTTTTACATCGCCCCCAACAGCATAAGGTCATATGAGACCCAAAATTTTAATGTACGCAGATGGACAACTTCAATTTTTGCCCTGAATGAGCGAGAAAATGCTGCCCTAACACTTTCAAGATCGCTCCTATCCTTTAGATATATTTTTATAACTGAAAAGCCTATTCATTCAAAACAAAATATAATTGATGTCTGGTCCCAAGCCCACACAACGCTGGGTGTACTTATATTGCTGGATGGTACTGTATTTGGTAATCAGCAATCTAATTGTATGGATATTGTAAAAATGTGCTCCTCTGATAGTGTGCAGCTCTGATAGCCTTTTCTCGAAAGTGCACGGTTTTGATTGTTTTTTTCTTGAAAGTGCACGGTTTTGATTGTTTTTTTCTCGAAAATGTGCGGCTCTGATGTTCTCCCGCGAGCTCAACAGTCAAACAGCCACAAGACCACCCACGCCAACCCCCGGTGGCGTCCACCACGGACACGAACGGACGTTGTAGAACTACAGGGGAGAACATATCATAATAATTAACAATAACAATTAACAATACTAATTAACTATGATAATAAGTGTAACTTGAGTTTGCTCGATCTTAAATTGCCGCTTCTTCAGTGACTGAAGACGGACGCATTTTGATTATTTCTCACATGCTGGAGCAATCTTGAGCCTGTGACAGCCGTTGTAATCTCTAATTAATTAACGCTGTTTCTGCCAATAGTCGGAAAATGAATACCTTTGTTTTTAAGAAAGTACGGGTAGCGAATACTGAGACGTGCAGAGGGAGAATGAAATATAAGCAAAGGGAGTCGAGAATCTTTGGTATAACATGTGTTACAGACGGCTCACAGGCTGAAGTGAAGAACAAAGGGAGAAAGCTGAGGGCGGCCGGGGGTGGATTAAACCGCCATAATACATGAAATAAATATTAGATCTACATCATATCCTACTGGCCGGGCAGAGACAACTTTCTTGGAACACGGCAGGGATAAAAGATCTCACAACTTGGGAGAGTAAGTCAACCTTTATTAAGATGATTGTTGCAGTTTACAGACTTCCTTTCTCAAGACAGGTATTATTGTTGTTGTACATGTATTATTATAATATTTATTATTATCACTATTATTATTATTATTATTATTATTATTATTATTATTATTATCATTATTATTATTATCATTATTATTATTATTATTATTATTATTATTATTATTATTATTATTATTATTATTATTATTATTATTATCATCATCATCATTATTATTATTATCATTATTATTATTATCATGATTATCATCCTCCTCCTCTTCTTCTTCTTTTTCTTCTTCTTCTTCTCTGCCATCGGTACTAATGAGGAACTCATGTCAACAATGTTTTCTATGAAACGGTTTCGAAACATTACCCTGTATTACATGCTCTGCTTCTGTCCTTTAGTTAGCTTACAAATAGCCTACTACCGCACCACATTCTGCCCTGCAATTTTTTCCTATTGTTTTTATAACCTCCGTCATTTTTGAGGATGGTTGGTGGGTCTTCTGGTGTTTTTTCCTCTTCTTTCCCATCAAACATCAGAATCTCTAGTCTCTATCTCTTCTTCTTTTTTATGAACGCTACTCTCTTGTAACAACTCTACTTTTCAGCAGTTATATGACGTAAGGGCGAGGACAGAGAGGCCACCGAATATAATTCGGCGTATCGGTGACATATGATTATTCGCTCGGCGCCGATCTTTCTTTCCGAAGGTAGAACATAAAGGACACATATTTTCAGCGCGTGTAAGCTGTTCCTCTGAACTAGATCTAGATTTGACAGGTTGGGCTTTACTATAAATAATATAAATGTTATGTTGTGTGTGAACGACTGTCATGTTGTAAATTCCAACATGCTTTCTTCCTAAATTAAAGAGGAAACGAATTGGCACAAATGCTATTTACTTCACTTTTTTTTTTTTTTTACCTCAATGTAGATTTATTTCCCCAGCTTGTCTGTGATTATTCGATTTGGTTAAGATGTATCTCGTTTGTCCCATACGGGAGACCGTTTGCATACTGCTGAAACGGTTCACGTTAAAATATTAACAAAATATGTGAACAACTGTGTTTCTTGAAAACACACACACACACACACACACACACACACACACACACACACACACACACACACACACACACACACACACACACACACACACACACACACACACACAACACACTGAGCACACTTCTCAACTCAATAGATCTAACTACAATCAGTGGATTTAAGAAAAACAACAGTATTACTAATTTTAAAAAAATACTTCATAAACTCAAATTCTGCTCGGTTAGCCTGTAGACTGTAGAATATAGATCGCTGATTTCAAATATCAAATCAGATTTGCTCTACGACGTTTCTTTGTTGAGATAATGGGCAGTTGGAGAAGTACCCAGTCCAGCCATATGACGTCACTCATCTGGTGACGGCCCATTGACGGGCACTCCTTCGCACCGAGCAACGGCTTTCGGTGAGTAGGAATTAACATTCATTCCTATAAAATAAGCCGCCACCGATCCCGTAGATCGGCGCAGAGAGTAGGCCTTGTCTCTGTGCGCTTATAGAAATTGTGTAGATGAATTCCAATAGCTTACGGCGCCTAGTGGTTAGGTGGCAGAAATCGGCCGCCTTTGTGTTCTCCCACTAACTGTGTTGTAAGTGCCGTAAAAACTCATAGTAAAACTAATACTCTGTTTTTTTAAAACAATCTTTTTTTCTTTTCAGATACACGAGAGACGCAGACGTCTATAAAATAAAGGTTGGTCAAGAAATGCGTTTTGGGAAGCTGCAAGTGTAACTGAAAAAAAAAAAAGAATCTAAATTAATTTCTGCGCAAATGGTTTCAGGGATGCAAGTTTTGTTGGTGCTCGTGGTCTTAGTGACTCTTGGAAAAAACGGGTTGCTCGGTGACCAAGGCATGGGAGTTCCTCACACTGAACACAAGGAAACAGACCTTGCTGCCCAGAATTACTCCACAACTTCCGAGTTGGAGAACGGCACAATGCCTTCGACAGAACACTCAGAGCTTTCTACAAAGTCTCCAGACGTCAAGTTTTCCAATACCTGTCGCAATTGGTGTGGTCGGGAACGAGAGCTTCAGCTCAAACAAAACCTGTGTAGCTGTGACACACTGTGTAGGTTGTACAACTCGTGCTGTTGGGACTTTGAGACCACTTGCCCAACGATCGACAAGACAGGACGGGCGCTTGTGAGCGAGGATCTGCTGGCTGCGACAATCGTCTGTGATGAAAAGTCTGGCGTCTATGTAGTGAGCGAGTGTCCACCTGGAAGAGAGATAATTGAGCCGACGGAGCGAGGTTCTGCGTACGATCTTCAGTGAGTGTCGGCGAGATATCGGATGTAGCCAGGCTACACACTTCCTCAGAATTACAAAGTTCTTTCTGCCCAGTGCCTATTTTTTAAAATAGATATTTGACGTTAAAGATTTTAAATCTCACATCATGTCAAGCTTTCTCGAATGCAATTCTTTGAATACCTTGATAACGATTCTGATAGAGTTGACAGAACATGGTCTCTGACCTCATGGTCTTAGTAACTCAGAACGACCCAACAATGTCAGATAGAACTTTGTCATTCTGAGGTAGCGTACAGTAGAAATTGTCTATGATGACGACCACTCATTGTGTCGAAGAGAATATAGTGGTCGTCTTAGACATATGGACGTTTTACACAGTGTCATTGTCATCATCATTGCCTTTCTCACCCTGCACCATAGGCAACGGAAAAAACACGTTCTACCTTTCTCTATCCTGGGCTAGCCTTTGATGTTATTCCAATATCTTCCATCTTTTCTGTACATCAATTTCTGTGATCCTTCTCCAGGTTCTGCGTGGTCTTCCCATTGAACGTTTACCCTGTGGATTCCAATCCAACACTTTCTTTGTTATGCAGCTGCCTGGCTTCCTGGCAGTATGTCCAATCTATCGCCACCGCCTTCTTCCTACCTCATCTCTGACTGGGATCTGTCTTGTTTCTTGCTTTCCTTAACACTTCCTCGTTGGTGACCCTGTCTGTCCATCTGATCTTCAGTAACTTTTTTAGACACATTTTAAAGAAAACCCGGATCCTCTTTATGCAAGTCTGTGAAACGTTCCGTGTCTCACACCAATACAACAGGACTGACTTCACATTTGAATTGAAAATTCTCAGCTTTGTTCGAAGTGAGATCTATCTCTGGTCTTTGAAATCCTATTCAAAGACATGAAAGTAGCCTGAGCTTTTTCAGTGGGGGTCTTTAATTCCGCACCTGTTCCTCCCTCTCTGTGAATTATACTGCCATGATAGCAGAACAACGTCTTCTAGTTCTAGTGCATTCCCTTCTATTGTGACCTGCTCCTTTCGTTGTGCATCTGTCCTTGTAGTGTAATAAAAAAGCAAAGAGGAAATGGGAAGTGGCCGTTTGAACAGGCGATTGTCTTATAAACGTGGTCGTTAAAGCAGGTTCGACGATTGCAATTGGAAATTCAGTCGAACCTAGGGGCCTATCCCAGCAGCCACCTATCCGAGATCACCTGTACAAACCACCACTAAACACCCCCCCCCCACCTCCTGCGTTTTTTTCTATAAGAATTGGAATGCTACTGTCCAATGCGTCCACCTGTCTAAGACAACCACTTTTCTTCTGGACAATGCATGGCTGTCTTGGGCAATATTGACTGTATTGTCAGTTAGATGTTCAGAATAAAAATACAATTCAATGACACCGGAAAAAGGGTTGAAACGTAAGTGGTAAGGAAAAAGGAAGAGAGGAAATTGATGTGAAGAAAAGGAGCAATAGGTAAGAGGCACTGTGAGCGTCTCCACTTTCTGCCCCCACCCCTTCACCTCCTTTGCCCCCTCCCCTCCTTTGGGCTTCTGACTCTCTCTGCAGCCTTTCAACTGCGACGCTTTACTGTTGTCTTTCAGCCACACCCCTGATCTTCTGGTAGGAACGATTTACACCTAACCTTTTCAGACAAGGGCGAAGAATCTCGGAGGTCCCTTTTGCAAGCTGCGTACATTAAAAATTCCTTGGTTGTCTAAAATCGACAAGAGTAGGCTTCAGCCGCCATCCGGGCAAAATTCAAAATTTCCTACCAACTGAAAATGTTTAATGTGCACCTCGCGCTCATATGTCCTTATGTTGTTGCGAGCGCCGTAAAACACGCAAGCAAGGCGCGCACAAGGCAGCTTTAGTTGCGCCACTGTTATCTCGCCCAAATGTGAACAATGAAATAGATATAAGCACTGCTCGCACAGGCAACTCGGGTTTTTGGAGACTGAAAAGATTGTGTTTTGTCACAACTTTCCGGCAACGCAACTGTTGCTCACATCTCCTGTGTTTCATACCAAACTGACGCACAACGCGCACAGGCAACCAAACTGTCTTTCCTCTGCTGAAATGCTGCTTCTCCAGTTGGTGCTTCGATACGTAATTGAGGGTCCCACGAGACGTAAAAGTTCATTAAAACTGTCTGAGCTCATACGGTAATAGTTTAAAAAATGGAGGGTATGCTCTCAAATCTTTAGGCAGTTTGACAAAATGCCCTTTAAAAAACCTCTGATTGGTCAGAGGGTGAACCCAAAACTGCTTTTTCCTTTTCTTCCTTCTAAGTGCAATCACAAGAGCAGGGACAACTACTGCGTCGTGGAAGTCCATGGCGTCAAATAAGGAAGTCAGTAAAGATAATAGCCTGCTGTTGCCTGGCTGTTGCTTAGCTCTGTGCGCGCGGTGTATAAAATAAGTTGCCCGGAGACAGCAACTGTTGCGCAACTAACATTGCCCTGTGCGGGCCTAGCCTTTTGGCCTACCAAAAAAAAAGGCGCTGCGTCAAAACACAAGAGACAGTCAGCCGCTGTGAGCGAGAGCTGGGCGAGGAATCGATTTCGGAACCGATTCCCGCAGTTAGTGCTACAGAGGAAAAGTTCTGATTCTTTTTTGTGTAAACCAACGGTTACCAATTACTATTATTTATTAAAATTTTAAAAAAATAATTTGAAAAGAAAACTGTTGGTGCCTCGCCGTGTTTCTAAATCGGAGTTATCCTGGACCCTGACGCTGTTTGAAGCCGACTAGGTAACCGGAACTGGCAAGGAGTTGGATTCATCGGAAGTAATTGCTACTTGCCGGAAATAATTATGTAATTGTGCAGGGATCGGGTCACAGAAGAATCATTGACACACAGAAGAATAATTGACACACAGAAGAAATCATAGACACACAGAAGAATCATAGACACACCGAAGAAATCACAACCGTGGAAAAAAATTGAGTTCGGACACGATTCCTAGTTTGCAATAATCGGGAACCGCTCGCCACTACACTGTGAGTTGAATCAGCTCTGCGGCCTGCGGGCAGAATGTGTGTTTGGCTAGCCCATTATTTGTTTTGTTTTGTTTGTTTGAGCAAAGAGATGCTTGCACATCCACACGGACAGAAAGATAAGACAGACAGACAGAAAGAGGAAGAAAAGTGACACTCTGTTATTTGTTTTCAGCAGAATGTATCATCATCATCATCATCATCATCATCATCATCATCATCATCATCATCATCATTATCTTCATCATCATCATCATCATCATCATCATCATCATCATAATAATCTTATTATAATGGAGCTAAGCCCGTGTGTGAGGTCAGTATACATTTTTTTACACAGGTCCCCGTAAAACCTACAAAAATATGATTCAGTTCAGAATGATCACAAAGGGATTCGTGGGCATATTATTATTTTCAAAGATCGGAACCTATCTTTCCATTTGTCAGGTTTGATGGTTTTTCCTGTAAATCGAAGCTCTCAGATGTTTTCACTCCGCCATTAGCCATTTGATATTTTAATGGGTACTATTTCCGTTTCGGTTTAAGCTTCGTCGTGTGTGTGTGAGACAGCTGCTGCTTGTACTATTTCCAGATCTAGAATCTCGATATATATCTAATTCTGTTTAGATGTGTGCTTCGCAGTGTCGATGGATACTTCAGGCCAAACGTCATTGTTGTGACTTTTTCTAGATACATTGGGTGCAGTCATGTTCACAACACGTTGAGTTTGTTTAAACCTACAAAATGTTTACGTTGTTATATTGACGTTTTCAAAGTTTGGCGTGTATCTGGTGCGTAGTTTGTTTTTTAGAGAGCAAGACTCTAGATCTAGATCTCCCTATTCTAGATGTATTTGAAGCACAGAATTCAAGACTGATTTGGAGTAGCTAGCAAGAAGATGTCGATTTAGTAATAATAATAATAATAATAA